GACCCTTTTCTGTGGGTCCCCACAGGAAGATGCTTTAGACTTGTGGCAGGCTTTGGGGCCTTGTTCTGGGCCAATCCCATATGGATGGACTTTTACCCACGAGGGGACGGGTAACTTTGGGTGCTTCATTTAGAAACTAGACTCTTGGCCTTACCTGTATTGTTTCCTAGTTTTATTAAAGTTCCTTCCCATTAAAGTCTCATATGTTTTGTGTTGGTGCGGCAGATGGCAGAACCCATTTAGAATAGGCAGGTTTGCGGGGCTTGGGCTGCCCCTCTCCCTGTCCTATAACAGTGTTAGGGGGAAAAGGATGTCCCAGGAACCCGTTTAATATCGGGGTTGCTCTATAACACTAGCATCTATATTTGAACTTCCCTTGTCCCTTCAAAATTTATTTAGAAGGTGAGTTCTTTCCCTGAGACTACATATAAACTTGGACAAAACCAGAATGTTTTGCTGACTGTGATTAATGTAATCATAATCACTACAATTACACTGTCACATAAACATCTCAGTTCAGAAATCAGAATATCTATTTCCATGCAGTAATCACAAGGCTAAATTTCATTTAAAAAAAAAAATATCCCCACTGCCATCTAGGGGTTTGGCACTGGAGGCCCGGGAAGGAGGAAGCCAGGTCTGTTTTCTCCCCACCCCTCCCTTTAGATCCCCCCTCCTACCCCATCCTGCTATGGCTTTATGCTGACTCTGCAAGGTTCAAGCAGGAGAGCGAGGAGGCAGGAATGCTGGCTTGTCTCGCCGGCACTTCCTGCTATCTAGGCCTGGGGAAGATGTACTGCAGTCTCTCCCCTGGAGAGGCACGCATCCTGCTAAAATTCCTTCTGGGAGACTCGAGGATACCCTCAGTCCATCCTGTTAGAAGGGCTGGGTGAGAGCACAGGAGAATCTCTCCGGAGAAATCTTCCTCACAAAATTACCTCCTGCTCCACCCTCCTTACCCTTCAGTACCAAGTGTAGTAGATTATCAGTCACACAATTCTCTTTGAATTCTGGTACCAAGTGTGAAAGGTCCATGCAGGGGGCCGGAATGCAGGAGCCAACCAGGAAGCCCACCTGGGGGGCAGGAATGCGGATACCTGCCTGGAGGATTCAGGCGGTGCGCCTCCCCCTTCCCCCCCACGAGTCTCTTCTCAGACAAAGAACCCCCTACCTGCCCCACGAACCTTTTCGCGCCCTACAAACATTTCCCGCCGAACGAGCCCACCTGACCTCTCCTCACCCTATAAAACTCTGCTTCCCCCTAACAACGTGCGCGACTCCACTGACCCCCGCCTTGGGTCTGTGAGGTCCGCCCGGGGCGCAATAAACTTTCCCTTCCCCCAAGGAAGCTTGGCCTGGCTGTTCTTTACCGCGCCGAACCTTTCAAAGTGTATTCTGATGACTTCCTTGAAACTTCCTATTAAATATTCCATTACACAAGTAAGTTATAAAATAGCTCAATTTCATGAAACCAAAACAAAAATTAAAGCTTTAGTGTGTCAAAAGTTAGGACAAAAAATAACACCTAATGCTGCTGATGTGGAAAATAAGGCCCTCGTCTACTGTTGGTATTAACACAAATGGGACCACATCTTTGAGGATGCTAATTTATTGATATCCACTAAAATTCTAAATAGGCATATAACGATCTTGTAATTATTCTTCTAAAAATGCAATCTAGAGAAATACCTGAACAAATGTGAAAAGATATATGAAAATGGTAAGAAAATACTGAAATGAGCTAAAATCTCTATCAATTGGAGAATGGTTAGATAAATTATGACATAGTCATATGAAAGAATCATTATCCAGCAGTTAAAGGGAATGGAATAAATTTATATTCACAAAGAAAGCATCCCAAATATATTTCAAGTGAAAATTTAAAAGATGGATAAAATTATAATTTTTTGTTAAAAGTCAAAACCAGAAAAAAACCTAAAATGGTTTAAATATGTATAGAAAGAAATGTTAGTGGTATAAATGAGACAACTTAGAGTGGAAGCTTCTAGGTAGCTTGATTATAGGAAAGTCTCATTTTCTAATTTTTTCATGTATGTATTACTTTTTTTATAAGAAAATGTGTACATTTACTTTCAGATCACAAAACATAGTATTTTAAAATAAGATAACAATGGAACCACAACAGTATAAATTTAAGAGATGAATCCAAAACTTAACTAAAAGATGATTTCATGGCTTTAAATAGTTCAAACACAAACCTGGAAAGAGTAAATCTTTTTTTTTTTCAAGAAGACTGAAAATTAAAACCAAATCACTCTGAAGGAAAGCAGAAGAAAGACTACTAGAAACAGAAAATAATGAAATAAACATTTAAAAAATTAACTACATTATAGGCCATCAAACATGTCTCAACATATACCATACAACTAGTGTTACTGTAGAACTAAGTTTGTGACTAACAGGAAATTGAGTTAGAAATCAATAATGAAAACAAACATGTATTTGGAAATGTGAAAAAAAATTCTAAATAATGGTAAATATGAAATAAAAATGAGATTATGTAAATATTTAAAACTAGACTGATAAAAATGATACAAATCAAAATGTGTGGCACTAGGCTAAAGCAATATTTAGAGAGAAATGTGTAGCCTTAAATACTTGTATCAGCACGGGGCCTCCCTGGTGGCGCAGGAGATTGAGCTCAGCATTGTGAAGCTGTCTGATGCCTCTGCAGTGCCAGTTCGATCCCAGCCGCTGGCGAGAAGCAGACCTCTCCTGTCTCACCTGCTGCTCCCCTCAGCAGTGTATTTCAGTCAGTCTGCCTGTTCTGCTCCCCACTCTGTCTCTGGTGAATCCTCTCATCCTCCCATGCACCCAGGGAGGAGGTACCCGTTCTTGTATAAATAAATCATAGGAAAAAAAAAAAAAAACCTTGCATTAAAAAAAAAAAAATTGTATCAGCAAAGAAAAAAAAGACAAAAAATAAAGTATTAGGTGTTCAACTCAAGAAGTTAGCCCCTAAATTTGATTTATGAGAGTCTGGCAAAATGGTGGCAGAGTGACAATGCTGGGCTCACCCCCTCCACATAATCACAACTAGATGACAGCAGAACAAAGCCAATAACCCCAACAGAAAAACAGGAAGCTACTGCACACAGCAGGAACAACCGTCATTGAAAGGGGTTGCAAAGCATTTGAGAAGATTCAGGCCCACTTATGACAAAAACTCTAAACTAAACGGGGATAGTAGAAACCTACCTCAGGGCCTCCCTGCGGCGCACTGTGAAGCTGTCCGCAGTCTCTGCTGTGCGGATTCAATCCTGGCCTGCTGGGGAGCTACCCACATGGCGCAGCAGACCTCTCCTGACTCGCCTGCTGCTCCCCTCAGCAGTGTATTTCAGTCAGTCTGCCTGTTCTGTTCCCCACTCTGTCTCTGGTGGATCCTCGCACCCCCCGCATCTCTGGCCTGTAACCCAGCTCTTGTATGCATAAATAAATAAATCTTAAAAAAAAAATCAAAAACTCCATTTATAATTGCCTCAAAGAGAATTAACCTAACTAAGGACCTATATCATGAGAACTATAAGACATTATTAAAGGACCTAGTGACATAAAGAGATGAAAGGGCACCCCATGCTTATGGAGGGGGAGAATCAATATAAACAAAATGATTCTCCTGCCTAAAATGATGTACACGTTTAACACAATCCCCATCAAGACACCAGCAATATTTTTCAAAGAAATTGGCCAAAATATATTGAAATTTCTATGAACCACAAATGACCTTGAATAGCAAAAGCAATCCTGACAATAAAAGAGAGAAACAAAGGCATCATGTTACCTGACTTCAAACTTTACCATAAAAACAACATGGTAATGGCACAAAAATAGATATATGAATCAATGGAACCAAATCAAATGCCCAGAAATAAATCCACATACATATCCGTTCCTAAACTATGATAAAGCCACAACCACCATACAACGGGGAAGGAACAGTCTCTTTATAATGAATAGTGTCAGGAAAACTGGAAGACCACACATAAGAGAATGGAGTTGAATCACTTTCCAGCTCTATAAACAAAAACAAATTCCAAATGGATTAAAGATTTAGACATAAGACCTGCAACAATAAAATATATAGAAGAAAACATTGGTAATATGTTCCAATAAAGATTTTTTTTAAAGATTTATTTATTTATACAAGAACCGGGGTATAGGCCAGATGCAAGGGAGGGTGAGAGGATTCACCAGAGACAGAGCCGGGCTGTGAAGCTGCCCGCAGCCTCTGCAGCACCGGTTCGGTTTAAAAAAAAAAAAAAAAAAAATCACAAGGCAATGCTATTTCTGTTTCTCACGCATCAGAATGGCAAACATTTTATAGTATGACAGTATCAAAGCTGGCAAAGACATGGAGCAACAGAATTCTCAAACACTACCATAAGAATATAGGTTAAAAGAACAACTTTGGGAAACAATTTGGCAAGTACTATTAAAGATGAAGGTATGTACAAGCCTAGGAGCCACAAGTGCCTAGCAGAACATACCCTGTCCAGAAATTCTGGAATGTGTAAACAGGGAAATGTGTGTAAGGATACTAGTAACAGCAGAGTATGGGATAAGAGAAAACTGGAAACTACCTCAATATTTACAAGCAAGAGGAGGGGTTAATCAGGTCGTATTCACAAAAGACTCTTGTAGATAGAGCTGTTAATGAATTACAGCTACATAATCAATATGGAAAAAATCTCAAAAACAAGGTTGAATAGAAGATGGGAGAGTCAGAAACATGCTTATAAAATGCTGTCATTTACGCAAAACTGGGTGCACCAGCAACCGACCCAGATCTGGGCATGTGACTAATGTTCAGAAGTATTCAAATGACCCAAAAGTATTGCCAGACTTACCGTCACCGTGGACAGGAACAAAATTTTACAGACTGGGAAACAGAAGAGCAGGGAAAGGCAAGTTTCCCAAGCTTTCCCGGTGCCATCCGAAAGGCACCAAAAGGCCCTCTGTCCTGTCCACATACTCCGTACCTGACATGAATCCAGGCCCCAGTAAGCAGTGGCGCACAGTACGTCCTGCCCGATGAACTTCTTTTGGTCCTTTAAGAAGAGGAACTGGTACTTTTTATTGCAGACTTCATTGTTTACAATCTTGACAGCCATCTCCTGAAGGCTTTGGGGGGCCTTTGTGGTGTCTGGAAAGAGACCGATCCTGCCTCGTCATCCCTGCAGTTCTTCGGCACGTCCCATCTTGGAGTTGTCTACATTAGCTAATGTGGGAGGTAGGGCCCCTTCCCGAGGTGGTCACTTGTAAAGGTTCAGCCCACAGGCTGCCTTTTGAAATAGCCCAAGAGCATTCAAAAGACTAAGCAGAAGTCTCCCCAGGAGCTGAAAGAGGACAAGGAAGATCACCCTAATAACTTGGGTCCATGAACTTGAAGGTCGTTCAGGCAAGTGGCAAGACCCTGAAATGGGCCACCCCCTGGAAGGCAAGTCCCCACAAGGCTCTTAGATTCTAGAACCCCAGGGTGGCCCCCAAGGTGTCAAATCTCCAGGAATCATTGGGGTCTCAAAGTTACAAGTGTCTATGATAAATGCCCAGTGCCTCAGTATCTCCTGAGATACTTGTGCCACCAGCATATAGAGAGCCTCATTAATAGCCAAGGATTAATTTCCTGCCATGCTGCACTGCAAGGGCTTGGCATTAGATTGAGCTTAACTTTGGGAACTGAGGTCCTTGCATGGCCCATGTCTTTTATACTAGGGCATTGTGTACATCTTGCTGTCAATGGCAGCCAAGACTTGTGCAGCACATGGAAGGGCATGTGGGTTGACAGAGGGAGGGAATGAGTGAAGGAACAAATGAATGAGCCGCTGGGGGCATTGTATTCAGAAGACACAGGTGTCTGGGGACCTCTGCCTGCTTTCACTCACCTCTAGTATTTACATGTCCCCACCCAATTACCCAGCACATGGTTCCAATAGATGGCTTGAGTTTCTGGTTGGGTAGGCAGACAGGCTGGATAAGAGGGGACCAGGAGATGTCGTCTTTGAGCTTCAAGAGGGCGATGTCCTGGGATATGAGGTTGCTGAAGTCCTCATGAATCACGATGCGACTAAGCTGGAGCTGAGTGACATTTTCTGAGAGGTTTTCGATCCCCGCATTTACAGAATACATTCGGGGGTCCTTGGATCTGCAGGACCATGGGTAGGAGGCACATCACCAACAATGAGACCATAATGGTTGGAGAGACACGGACTGACCATAGGATCATTCAGCCAGGCCCCTGGTCCCAGATCCCAGGATGTCCCAAGCCAGAAAGGAAAGTACCTGGGGCTCATGAGCCATCCCCACTGACCTCTGTAAGCAGTGTGCAGCCGTGAGGACCCACTGCAGGTGGATGAGGGTGCCGCTGCAAATGTACGCGCCCATGAATAGGATGCTCACCTGCCATGGCCACTTGCCTACCTCCTCCAGCTTCCCCTTAACCATCTTGCAGGCCAGGTTGGTCTGACCGCAGCCCCTGAACCAGGTCTCTAAGGAAAGAAGTAGAATGGGGCTGTCAGCCCCATGCACATGCTCAGGTAGCAAAGGGCAGGCTTCGGAGCCTGCACACAGCAGACCGCTGAAGCAGAGAAAGTCATCTTCCAGCCATCACAAGAGCAGCTGCCATGCACATGTGAGGAGGGGCTTTTCCCACTGCCCGAAAAAGGCAATCAGAGACACAAAGCCTGCGGGAGCCTCCTACTCTGCTCCCCAGGAAGGGGAGTCTCACAATGAGGAGAAAGAAGAAAGTCCCTGAGTTAGGAGACACATCCCTGCTCACAGATGCCATGCCAACATGTCTTCTGTCAAGCAGAAGAATGGGCAGTCGGCAGGTGACCCGAGCCAGGGCTGCCACCATAAGATTACATGTGATCGGTTAGGGTGGGACCCCAGAGATCTTCTGAAGCCCCAAACTTTTCACCCATAAGGAGTCTATTGAAACTGGTGTTGAAGCCTTGCTCCAGTTTGGTTTGGTTTCCTATTGTGAATGGGGCTATTGGTGGAGCCCACCTCTCAGATGGCGCCCGAGCAGTGCCTTATGTAGACTAAGTGATCACTCACACATCACAACATCCTCATCACAAGTCCTGGTTCTCCTAGATTATGCCTCCCAAACAAACTTATCTGTTCCATGGGTGTTGGTTTGTTCCCCAGTTTTCTAATGAGTTTACTCCCTCATGGTCACCCAGCAAAGTTAAACTGCCTGCACGCCATCTGGGTCCTCAGGTTTGGCGCACCATTAAGTCAGATACAGATGTGCCCATCAGGATATGGAGAAATGGAGATTCTTCGGACATGCCAGCTGACACCACACAAACAAACCCCTTCTGCCTTTCCCCATGTCCCTGAAGGCCTACCATCAACATAGAAAACATCTGTAAGCCTGGCAGAAGCAAATGGAGGGCCCTGAAGATCTCCTGACCCACATGCCATGGCAAACAGGTGCCCAGCCCTCAACAGTTCTCATAATAGAAGGTGGGGGTGGGGCAGGGCATCACTGCTGTTCGAGAATTCTAGAACATGAGATTTGCTTATTCAGGGTAACAGAGGAGTGAGTCTCTGACCTAGGGTTGGGGTTTCACCCAGCTGGGACACCAACGGGAGCCTGGGAATGAGACAGTGTGGTCATGGAGATGCCCCACTAGGGCCACACTGTGGTGCTGCCACCAGGCTCCCCCCTGTAATGGAGCTCCTGGTGCCTGAAGCTGTGACAACACCTGGGATCTGGCCTGTGACAGTGCCTCCTGGGTGCCACTTTTGGCCTTGATGGTGCCCCCCCATGCCCAACTCTGAGTCTGTGAGTGCCAGGTATATGGCCTGTGACAGTGCTGGGTGCCAGGCTTGTGAGGCTCCCCTTGTACAAGCTCCTTTATGAAGCCCTCGTGATTGACCCCCCCCTAAGAGGGGGTTGGCTACTTGCTCCCCCAAGTGATTAAGCTGGTACAATAAGATAACAGTGAGGAGCAGCCTCCCAGCCAGTGGGTGGCACTCATCACCAACTTGATGGTAGAAGGTGGAGCTTTCCAGATTCCACCCCCTGATGGCCTGAACAGGGGGTGATGGGAAATAGGAGCCGAGTTGGGATTTCAGCCCTTAAGCCTCTGGTGTATGGTAGGTGGAGAAGCTGCCTGCTTGCCACGTGCAGCTTTGGCTTGGACCTGGTCTCTTCTCAGAAGACACTACCTGTGGTAGGAGACAGCAACTTAACCACTGGTGAGACACCACCAACCAGTCATCACTTTTCCCCTAGGTTTGCCCGTTTCAGAACTAGCATTTTCCTTTTTCACACAGGTTCTGAATTTTCAAGAGACCACCTGTTCTGGCCTGAGGAGGCAGCTTCCTGAGAAGCAGCAGCTTGCCTGGGTCTTCGTGAATCATCAGAATAAATGACATCTTGGGAACTCTCCCCACTACTCCACGCAGATTCCTGTGCAAGGCCGCAGGCTTCTCCACGAGGTTGGCTCACCCCTGCCCCACCCCACTGCCAGGGTTGTGGAGAGCATGGGGTAGTGAGGAGCACACACTGCTGGAACTGAGTGGACAGGGGCCCCCAATGTGAAAACTGGAATCATGTGGTAAAGCAGACAATGTGCCTGCAGTTCCACTCCTGTTGGTGTGCACAGCAGCAAACAAGGGATTGTATTCAGGTGCACTGCTGGGCAGAGCCCCAGGGTGAAACCACCCAACTGCCGTCAAGGTGGGGCGGAGGCACAGGACTCAAAAGGAGACAGAGACACAGTGAATCTCAAAGACATCCTGTTGAGCAAAAGTCAGACACAAAAAGGTACATCCTGTTTGAAATTCAAAAACAAGCCAAACAAACTATTTTTAGGGCTACATGGCAGAAAATCAAGGAAACGCTCACCCCTACCATCAGATTTCATCAGGGGGAAAGAGAGAGGAGAAAGAAAATCCAGAGAAGAAAAACCCTGTCTATTCTTCTGCCTTTGCGGAAAATAATACCTTAAAGGAACAATCAATCAATAAAACAAAATAAACATCATCAACAAACAGAATAAAATTCTTTATCACCACCACTGTGAATACAGCAAAGTGACATGAAGCAGTTGAAAGTAAAAGGACAGGCAAAAATACATTAAGTATATGCATGCAAAAATAGAAATGGAAATGTTAATTTCTGAAAATGTGATTTGGGACAAAAAAAGAAAAAATTGTGTTGAAAAATAAAAATTACAATGAATATGGAACTCATAAAGTTCTGTTCACTGATAAAATAACATCAAACATAAAGCAAAATCAGCAGTATGTGAGAAATTGAAAAAAACTTCACTTGTAGTGAAAGGGTCTTCTCCAACTCTGTCTTTGAGGGGTGGAGTATCTATAAAAACCACACACTAGACTACTAATAAAACTACAATATCTTTCCTAAAAACTGAAATAGTTTGAATAACATTTTTTACCATGATGTAATGAGAAAAGGATTTAATAACAAAAGAGTAAATAAAATAAACCAAATGATTTGAAAACACTACACATACACTTTGTTGATGTATTTTGAGGAAAGAAAAACATTCTGCAAACAATTTAGAAAATACCAATCATTAGAACAATGCATTGAAAAAAACTTGTGTGTATTCAAGGCAGATCTGTAACCTTAAAAGTATGTATTAAAGGGCCTCCCCGGTGGCGTAGCGGTTGAGCGCTGGGCTGCGAAGCTGCCCGCAGCCTCTGCAGCGCCGGTTCAATTCCCGGCTGCCGGGCGAGGGTCCCATATGGCCCGCAGACCTCTCCTGCCGCCCGCCGCTCCCCTCAGCAGTGTACTTCGGTCCTTCTGCCTGTTCTGTTCCCCGCTCTGGGTCTGGTGAATTCTCTCACCCTCCCGCACTTCTGACTGTACCCAGTGCTTGTATAAATAAATAAATATATAAATCTTAAAAAAAAAAAAAGTACGTATTAAAGAGTAAAGAATGCAAATAATGAATTAAATGTTCAAATTAACAAACTATAAAAGATTCAAAATAAACTCAAGGAAAATCTATAGGAAATAAGCTAAAATTTTATAAAATCACAATTTTAAAACCTTTGTATTTAAAATTCTTCAATTTGTTTCCTTGACTGTCTTCCCTCAGCCCATCCTAGGGGGACCCTAGGAAAATGCCGAGAGTGCATCCTCCCTGCACCCCCCACCCCCAGCCTCAAGCCACAATGCTGGGAATTCAGAAACTGTCTGAAGTGGTTCCAGGTAAATAATATATGTTACGTCCAGGCAGCACACATGCAGTGATGTGAAATGATGAATAGGTTTAGGTACTGATAGAGACAGGTTTTCGAGGCATATAATTTTTTTACTGTATGTTATTAATAATATATATGAGACCCTCTTTATTTTTTTAAATCCAAGATATTTTATTTAAGGATATTAATGATTACTTCTGGGGAGAGGCTGGATATAATTTTGACTTAGTTTAGTAGATCACAAGAATATATTCAGATTGATGTAATTAGACAAAATGTTTTAAGACAAAATATGTAAAAGATGAACTTGTAATACTTTTGTAATCAAGTTTTTCTTTTTTAATGCCATTTAAAAAAATAGAAAGCTGACTGGAGCACACTATGTGGGTTCTTGCCACTACCAGTTTACACAGCATGTTTCAACTGCCCCCTCACTGCATTTACAGAGTACAGATTCCTCATCTACTTTAAAATGAGGAAAGCGAGGTGGCAGGTGCCCAGGCCTTTCCCTATGTGCCAGCAGTAGCGATCAGGCAAAAAGCATCAGCCCCCAATCTAGGGGGGCCTCCCAGCAAAATTAATTCCAGGAGGCCTTCCCCTTCCTTCCACCCAATACCCATAATCACCCAGAAATGAACAGAATCAGCTCACATTTGCACAAATTTAATCTCTGCTATTCTGGTCCCCAATTCCAGAATCCTAGACCATACTTTCCTCCTCATGTCCATCCAAATCCAGGCAGCCAGCACATTCCTCCCCACTGGAGAACCAAAACAGGCCCCAGTCTCCCAGGAGCCACTCTTTCCCCACCTTGACTCTTGTTGAACATAGACACATGCATGACTGTTGTCTAACCTTGATCTGGCGCCATTCAGCAGAGGCCAAGCAGAAAGAAGGGAGGGCGGAGATCAGGGGTCCCTCTGGGGCTGCAGCAGCCAGAACAGAATTAGGAACCAGGCAGAGGTGCGCAGACCTGAGGGAGCCCCACTGTTTATTTGAGTCTTGATCCACTTGCTATATTTCGTGATGCGGGAGTACACGCCTGGATTCTGTACCTTCTCGCAGGCCTTTTCCCAGGACAACACCCCAGCCAGAATCCATCTGCCATCAACTTCGCAAGCCAATGGGCCCCCAGAATCCCCCTGGGCAAAGAGAAAGAGAGATGATGGAGGCTCAAGGCCCAGCCAAGACCCAGGGGACCCAGAATGCCCACCCCTGTGTTCTGTTTGGATGGTTCTTTGAGGATTTCAGTACCTGGGGTCCTCCTTCAGGTCCTCAGCTGGGGATCCCATCCCAGATTATCAGCCAAAAAATCAAAGTCACAGGGGAAGGTAGATGCAAGCAAAACACTGCCTGGTGATGGTGCCAAAGAGGGACACCAAGCAAACCACTTCCCAAGGAGCTTCCCCTCCCCTCACCCTGAAGGAGAGCTGCCAGAATCTCCCAGAAACTCACAGAGCACAAGTTTTCTCCATAATTGGTGGCACAGACCATGTCCCCCAGGACAAGGGGGACAACGCGGGGCATGAGGGACTTCTTGCGGTAAATCCGGTCACACCTCTTGTTGTCCATGATAAAAACCTCGGCCTCCTGCAGCTCTAGGGTCAGCGTGGAGTTGGCTGTGGAGGAGCCCAGTGGAGTGAGAACTGATTCCTCACTCCAGTCAGCCCTGGCCTCTTCCCAGTGTGGTGTGACCTCCATCCTCGAGATTCTACCAAGACACGCCCCTTCACCTCCCTGCCCTCCTTCACTTGGCCCTTCCCTCTGCAGTGCAGACCACGTCTGATAAACCCCAGGGCCTCTCAGGCTGTTTCAGGAACCCATTTTCTGGGAAGTTTATGCTTATGAACCAAGTAGGCCACAATCAAAGTTTCAAATGCAACCACTTACAAATTGAAACCCCCAACCCCACCCTGCTTTTCTCCAGCCTCTGAGTTTTGTACTAGTTGTGGCCCTTCACTAGCAGATGAACACCTGCTCCTCCTTGGGCATTTTAGGCAGACCCTCTGCCCAGAGTTCATTCCCAAATTCCTCCTGGTTTAATCTTAAGATCACTGACAAAGTCTAGTCCTTGTCAGCCTGTACCGCTACATCCAGCCTCAGTTGAGTCCTGGCAAGTGGGACACGTATTCTCAATGCCAATGGCCTGGCAAGTGGCAGATGCTCAATTTATCAACTGAATGAATGAGTGAGTGAATCTGTGAACATGATTCTAAGCTGCTGTAAGAGGCAAATGATCGTGCCCAGCCCAGGCACTGCTAGGCCTGAATGAGCGCCCACAGCAAGCACAATGATATAAACCATGACAACAGTTCACAAGAGAAGTGACCCTGACACACCCAAAGAGGCAACAGCCACAAGTTCCCTGACAGGTACCATGAGGGGGTTCATCAGGCAAGACCCTGAAAAGAAAGGAATGCACCCTCTGTGTATTGAACCCCACCCCCATCCCACCCGACTCACCAGAAAAGCGCCGTTTAACCTGGCCCCAGCCAGTCACCCAGCACTGTATGCCAGTCTTCAGGATGTAGTTGGGCTCTGGGAGGCAGATGGGCTGCACGTACTTGCTGATGATGGCAGGAGTGTGAAGCAGGAGAAGGGCAATGTCACCCATGAAGAAGGTCTGGCCCCAGTACTTGGGGTGCATAATGATGTCCTTCACGGGGATCAAGAGGGCCTTGGTGGGGTCCTTGGGCTTCAGCTTGGAGGTGCCAAGCATTACTGAGTATTCTTTGTTGCTGCAGGAGACAGAGAGCCCCACCAGGCAAATGTCAGGTTCCCAGCAAGACTATGCTCCTACCTGGTGCGAGGACCTCGGCCCTAGCCACAGGCTGCCTGATTTGCTCTGCTAGCTTGGCTTTGCCTGCAAGCCCTCAGATAGGACTGTCTCATTCATAATTCACATTGGCTCAAACAGTGCAGGTGTGTAGGTGTTGATACACATGTGTGTTTTCATGTGTATGGGAGCCAAGGGGATATCCTGGATTTTCCTGTTTCCCTGCTTTTGAGACAGTCTTTGCTGCTCAGTCGCTGGCCCCTGTGAAACCTTGAGCATGACTGGACCTCCTTTCCCACTTACCCCACACTACCTCCCCCTCTCCCATGTTGTTTCACAGAGGAAATGAGGCTAGGCTGGGCCTGTTGCAGCCCTGGGTCCCTAGACCCTGGACATGTGGGCTAAACTCACCCTTGGATGCAGTGGGCAGCAGTCACCACCCAGCTGAGGTCAATGAGGGCCCCTCCGCACACGTGTTCATTTTCCATCTGGATGCTCACCTCCCAGGGCCAATGGCGGGTCATGTCCAAATCATCGGACCACCAGGGTCTGCCACACTCATCAGGATGGAGTGTGGCTGCAGAGACACAGTGGTCACACAGCAGAAGATAAGAAAGACTGAACAAGATGCTCCTTAGGGCCAATTTGCATGAGGCTATACACTCAGGGGGAGACTGAGGAGGAGAGAAGGGTGGGGACCTACCCAAAGGTACTGAGCTAGACAGAAAATGGCAGTGATAGAGATAAATGGCACCAAGACAAAGACAGAGAGCCATCACAGGGAGATTGAAAGATACTGAGGCACACAGGGAGCAATCAGTCAGGATATCAAAGTAGTGGAGAAGGAGCCCTAGGGCAAGAAATTCATGTTTGCATGTCTGGAATAAGGTCCCTGGGTCACACTCCTGAAAGATCATCGCACTTGCAAAGGCCGCTCTCTTCACACTGTGCACAGTCAAGAAAAGCTCCAGACTTCCAGGTCAGAAGTCTGCACACAGACCATTCAACAGAGAGTCCCCTGGTGTGGGGGGCCCACTGAGGACCCACTGAGGTCCCCCACTCAACAGCTTACACACTTGGTTTGCACATCGTTTCCACAGACAAGTTATACAAGTGTATGAACATGATACAGAAACTAAAAATAAGATATAAACCAATTTTTTTTTTTTTTTAAGGAATGCACCGTGATCATGTAGGGCTTGTCTCAGGACTGCAAGAGTGGTCTCGGCATGGAAGAGTTCTCAGGGTATTCTCCATATAACCTGCTCTTTTTCTCAAAAGAGGGAAAGAGAGTGTGCTTTTCTTAAGAGACACAGAAAAAGCAATTTGAAGATTCAACACAGACTTATGACTAAAGAAAAAACTCTAGGAATAGAAAGGAAATTCTTAATTTTATAAGTTACATGCCAAAACCTATAGCAAACATCATATAACATTTAAAAACCGATAAAAAGAATCTTCATGGCCAAAAGCCAGGCATAATGATACTTTGTGAGAAGGAGGTTAAGGGCTCTTCCAGGTCCTGGTACAGCTCTGCTCTCTAACACTGAGGTGAGTGCACAGGTATGTCCACTGTGTCATCATTTCTTGAGCTGGACACTTATAATTTATATACTTTTTATGTGTAGGTAATACTTTGATAAAACGACTTATCCTTAAAATCAATAACATTTCTCTACCCCAGCACAACCAACTAGAAAATATAGTTAAAATAAAATACATTTTTAGTAGCAAAAAATTATGAAGTACCCAAGAACTGACTTATCCAACACTATGGACATTTCTGCAATAATAAAGTTAAAACTCTAATAAGAGACTGATATTGCTCTCCTCCACCATCAGGTGATTGATTGCACTTAGCTGTTCTCACCATGTACTCTCACTTTAAGGACCAAGCGATTCCTGGCCAAGAAACAAAAGCAGAATCGTCCTGTTCTCCAGTGGATTCAAATGAAAACTGGTAATAAAATCAGATACAACTCCCAGGGAAAATACTGGAGAAAAACCAAGCTAGGTCTATAAGGAATCCCACATGAGACAGCACACATATTTATGCTGTACCAAGATCAGTAGCATCTTACTATTTTACATTGAAAACATCACTATTAACTGGACATGTTTTCTCTTTGTATGTCTCTGTACCTAGAAGATTGGTCAGTAATAAAAATTTGAGCTCTTTGGGGAAAGAAAAGAAGAAACACTGAAATTATTAGCAAAAATAGAGACATTCCTCGTTCTTAAGCAGAACAACTAAATATTTTAGATGCAATTTTTCCCAAAATTAACCTATAAAGTCACTTTCCATGTCAGGACTCTTGATAGTTCCTTTATAAAAACTTCATATAAACTTTGATAGTTTAGGAAACTTGATAGTTCCTTTAAAATTGAAATAGAAAAACGAAAGTCTACAAATAGCTCAGTCTTTGAAAAAGTAGAGCAAAGGAAGAACAGTTGTTCTAGCAGATATTAAGACACACAGCAAAGTCATGATAACAGAAACAATATGGCATTCACGAGGACAGACAATATGGCCAAGGGAACAGGGCTTGAGATGGTTCTATGGCATACAGGAATTCAGCGTATAAAGGAGCCACCATAATCAGTGGATAAAGGAAGTACTGTTGAGTAGATGGTGTTAGGAAACTGGCTCACCGTAAGAGAAATAAGAAAAACAAAACTGGATTCCTTTCTCATAGCACTTAAAGACCTAAATGTAAAAGATAAAACTGCTGAGCTAATGTTGGGGTATCATGATCCCACTTACATGAGGAATCTAAGATAGTTACACTCATAGACAGGAACAGAATGGTGGTTTCCAGGAACTGGAAGGAGGGGAAATAGGGAGTTGCATTTTATGGGTATATATTTTCAGTTATGCAAAATGAATATACTCTGGAAATCAACTGTACTGCATTGTACATGTAGTTAGTAATATGTTGTTGTATATTTAAAAATTTCTTAAAAGGGTAGGTGTCATGTTAATTGTTCTTGCCATGGTCGGGGTGGGGGGTGAGTGAAAAAATAAAACAATAGATATACTTATAAAAAAAATGTCGTGGTATCATTTAATAGAGTTAAAACTGAAAACTCTGCACTTCACTCAGCTGAACAATGTTGAGAGACACAAAATGCTAAGAAAAGGAAACAACCACCGGACCTGGCCACAGGTTCACATGACCAATAGGGGGTGATGGAGAATTCCCAGGAATGAGGGAACAGGACAAACAGAACCAGGCAGGACACCTCCTTTGCAGAAGGCCCACCCAAGCCTGATGTTCCAGCAGATAGCAACTGGCAGAGACAGACTCCCCCTGTCATGAAAAAGCCTGTGAAAACTGGTTGTAAAAAGGAGCTCCAAATATTTCTTCCTACACAGAACTATATCTCCCGTACTGAACTACATACCAGGTAGTTCAGTAAATCCACCTTTCTGTTCACTCTGTCTCTGGTGAGTTCTTTCAGCTCCGTACCTCTGGCCTCACCCTGATATTAGACCACCACAGTTAACAGCAGACCATGTGATGTATGGTGGGAAAGTGTTCCTTACACAAAACCTCAAAGCAAAAACCATACAGCATTAAATCAACTAGCCTGATTACATCAAAATCAAGGCTTTTTGAGCCCAGGAACAAAGCTAACAGACAGACTGGGAGGCAATATTTGCAGTATCTAAAATCAACACAAGGTTTTTGTTAGGACTATACAAGGAACTCTAGGAAATCAACAAGAAAAAAGAACAAGAGACAACATGCAGAGAATAAGGCGGGCGATTTACTAGAAGAGACAAGAGGCCAACAGCATATTGAGACAAACTCACTGATAATGAGGAAAATGTAAATTACATCAGGAAGTCATGCTTTTTCCACTAGACTGGCAAAAAAAAGCCAAAAGCTAGATCATGGCTTGGGTTGATAGAGCTGTTGCCATGTACACACTCCCACCAACTGCTCTTAGGACTGCTGAGAGCTGACCTGAAATATGGACACTAGATAAAGGCAGGGGACCGATGTAAGTTTTTGAAGTTGATAAGTGTGCTGTGATTACCTAAGACAATATTCTTAGAAAATACATACCAAGTACTCAGAGATACCACATTATCCTCAGCTGATGTCTGAAAACATTATGTGATTTTATATGAACATAAAAGATTATGTTCCTTCTACTATTTGCATTTTTGCAGCATGTTGTAAGTTTAAAATTATTTCCAAATAAAATGTTTGTCTTTAACGGGGCTGAATGAAAAGAGGAAAAAACAGGGATCTAGAGCATTTAACATTTACGTAAGCTAAAAATACATGCACACAAAACAACAATACGGAGTTTTACAACAAGAACACACACAAACAGAAAGACACACTGAACACACAAGACTGAGAGGAGGATGAAGACCGGGAAAAGAAGTAGACCGTGGATACGAGCAAGAAAAACTAACTTAATCAATCAACCAAACAATCTATACCAAATCGGGGTGGAATGTTGACAGGGCATGTGACAATGCAGCTCATGGACAAGCAGGAGGAACCCACCCTCTATCCCAAGACTAAAGAAAGAGCCAGAGAGACACACAAGAGTCAAGCTCTGCAGACACTGCCACAGGGCCCAGGAGACTCCATTTGCAACTAAGCAGTTTAGAGTTCAAAAGGACTGCGGAAAAGGGTCTGCATCAGCTTCCTGGATATGTCCCCCAAGGGGCTGCAGTTTGCACTGCATTCAAAAAGGTTCAGCATTTCCACTGAAGGTTCAGATACCCTCCTCTACACCTTTAGGTCTCTATGTCCTGGGAGCTGCAGGCTGTTCTTTAGAAAACAGGCTCCTTAGACTAAATTCCAGCTTCCTGCAAATACACTATCTATGTGGCCCTCTTCAGAACATACCCTCCGGGAACTGAGGATTTCCTGCAGGAGGGGCTCACCCTACCCACCTCGTTTGGTGTTGTCCTCTTTGTAACCTGGAGGGGAAAAGGAGGACAGAGGTGAAGTGACAGGCTGTGACAGGATGATACAAAAGAGGTGCATTTTTCATTAATTAGTTCATTCACTTATCAAATATTTCCTAATCTCCCATTCTGTTCCCAGCCTGGGACCTGAAACCAAATGGACAAAGGTGTTTTAGAAAGATACACCCAATATTTGCCCTTGAGAAACATGCTTTACAGGAGGGGAGACAAGAGTAAACAATCACCTGTATGAGATCAATGCAGGGACAAGGCCACAGGTGTCAGGAGAGGCCAGAAGAAAAGATGGACAGAGAAGTTTCTGGGGAAAGTGGTTATTGTGCCAGATCTTAAAGATGAGAAGGTAGAACAGAGATGAAAAGTGACAGTGACACTCCTTGCAGAAAAAACATCCTGGATTATACCTCCCTGGTGGTGCAAGGGTTTAAGCACCACACTTATGAAGCACAAATCACATGGCACAGCAGACCTCTCCTGTCTTGCCCGCTGCTCCCCTCAGCAGTGTATTTCAGTCAGTCTGCCTGTTCTGCTCCCCACTCTGTCTCGGGTGATCCTCTCACCCCCCACATCTCTAGCCTGTACCCCAGCTCTTGTATGCATAAACAAAACTTTAAAAAAAAAAATCATGGATATCAGACACTCCTGAGGATAAAGGACAAGGCTAGGGCAAGAAACGATGTGGGGAGGGGAGTCAGGGGTCAATCAGGAGGGACCACTAGCCAAGTCAAGAAGCCTGGGTGAAGCCCTCTGAGAGGAGGACGACAAAAGGGTGACAATCCAGGCTATCTTATGAAGGCAGCATGAACAATAAATAGGAACATGACAAGACTGAAGGCAATGAGATGCAAATGTAGGCTCTACAAAAGCCAACAAGAAAGAAAGGTCTGATGAGATGGGGGGATGTAGGACTTGGGGGAATGAGTGAACCTTTGGAGTATCCAGCAGTGCCAGGCACCTAAGAAGATGTGGGGGAGGGGCTGCCGCATATCGTATGAGAGGCCTGAGGATACTGTCAAGAAGGTAGTTCAGGTCTTAGTCTGATTTTGGAGACAAGTGGCTAATATCCACTGAGTTAGTAAACAAAGGTAAGCAAACCCATTGTATACTAAGATGAAGCCTCAGCTCTGAACTCTAAGGAGTTGAACTCTTTCTAGGTCTGTCAAGTGGAGATGTCCAGTAGGAGGCCACACATCAGACACATCATTTCAGGGGGCAGCATTACATCCATAGCAGCACTATTACATCCAGGGTAAGTTAGCTCACCAGGGAGCACTGAAGAGGGAAGCCAGACAGCACCTGAGAACACCAATACATCAGAATGAAGCGAGCAAGGGTAGTCTGGGAGGGCCACAGAAGAGGGGTCCCTGAGATAGAGGGGATTCAGGAGGCATCGCCTGAGAGAAGACAAGGGACTAGAGAAAATGAAGGAGACAGTAGTAGAAAGTCAGGGACAATAAGGGCAGAGACATGCCAGGAATAGGCTGAGGATTAAGTGAGAAGCACTAAAAGGAAGCATGAAGTGAAAACCGTTATTTTGAGAAACCTGGCAGTGTGTGGAAAGAGGGTGAAGAAACACAGTAAATAAAAAGGGAGAGGATAAAGATCTCTGAGAGACTGGGGGAGGGAGCACAGCCCAGGAAAGGCTCACAGTCCAGAGCACAAGTAAGTGGTCTGACCTGGAACAGAATGCCAGGTCGCTGATTCCTCTTTTCTGACTGAACCAGCTGCTAGGGAGGCACCCTGCGTTTGAATAAAAGGTCTGGAAAAGTGAATTCTGGAATATTTCCTTAGTGTATTGAGACCACGAACTAACCTAACCCAGAACGTATGCCTATGGGGTCTCCAGCAGTGCCAGGCGCCTAAGAAGATGTGGGGGAGGGGTTGCCACATAGAGTGTGGCAAGGATACTGTCAAGAAGGTGGTTCAGGTCTTAGTCACTTGGAGGTCCACACTGACAGAGGAAGGAAACAACTGATCCCCTAGGAGAAAATGCTAAGGGTTCACTGTACTAGTCCCAGGAGGTGGCAGGGCAGGTGGGCCCTGAGGGAGAAGCTGAGTGGGCAGTGGGAATCACTCTAGCAAGATCCTGCGAGGGGTTAAAGGTTGGTGAGCGGGTGGGGGGTGCGGTTACAGAGTCCCAGTCTGCTGTGATAACCCCGACCAGTGCGGCTCCAGGGATGGGGGGAGGGGGGGAGGGGGGAAGGGGCGGGAGGGCTCTGCCGGTTCCACCTCACCTGAGCTCCGTGGGGGCTGCAGCAGCAGAAGCAGCAAGAGGCAGTGACTTAGGCCCCAGAGCCTCGAGTCTCCAGGCCCATCGCTGAAACTGAACAGCATGGAGGTCATGAGGCCCGGGAGACGCCACCTAGCTGCTGCAGAAACAGCCCCCACAATCCCGCCACGGGATGGCTCCCTGATGGGTGAGGGCACTAGCACAAACTGCGCATCTCAGACGCCTGAGGGCGCCGCTAGTACCGGAAGCACTTCCGCATACGTGGGCGGGGGGACGTACAGTGCGTGATGACGTTGTGGACACATACCGGTGGCCTGGAGCCCTGCACACGCGTCTACATGTGTTGGCTTGTCTCCTTCACCCCAACCTAGTGCCTATTCCTTAAAGATGATCTTGGGGCTCTGTAGCTGTGATTGCCTCCAAGGTGGCAGGTCCTTGAAAGCACCCCCCACTGACATTGATGCCAGCACCTGGCCAGTGAAGGCACACGGGGATCTGGGCCAGTTATGAAACCTTGTGGCTCAGCCTCTGATCACACTGTTGGCCCCTTAAGATTGATGCATTGGAGAGGTACACAATTTATGTTGATTTGACAATCTAAAAAGATACAGAAAGCACAAGAACAGAACAGTAAGGCTAAAGAATCAGACGACTGAGAAAGTGACATTTGAGCTGGACCAAGATTTGAATGATGCATCATAGTTGGGTCCAAAGGAAGGAAAGCCTTTCTTCCTCTTCACAGACTACGAAGAGGAGTGTTGCAACTGGAAGAGAAAGTGGCTCGTGTCAGGCCTTGAACAGTCACAGGGAGCTTTTCCAGAAGGATGGGGTCTTTGGGGTTGAGGGGTGTAGCAGATATTGGGAGGTGGCCACAAAGATTCTTACTTCCCATGACTAGGATGGGGGACCACAGCCTGACATCTAAAGAGGTCCACTGGGTGAGTTTCCACCACTAGGAGGTGAGTAGAGGTGATGTGTGTCACTTCTATGCCACTGCAGTCAAGGGAAGTTGCCTTCCCTGCTTATGTTAATGCAGGCCAGCGGTTCTCAAAGTGCAGACTTCAGAGCAGCAGCAGCAGCCCTTGGAAACATACTCGATGTACATTCTCAGGCCCCATGCCAGACCTCCAGGATTAAAAACTCCAGGAGCAGAACCCATGGTCTGTATTTTAGCAAGTCCTCCACGGAATTCTGATACAGGTGAAGTATGAACTATAGGACTAAGTAGTGCCTCAAGATGGAGGTGTTACCGTGAGATTAGGATGTTATAGGAATAAGAAATTAGATTTATTTAACACATGAATATTGGGTGGTTTTTTTTAAACCCCTTAATAGATTTGATTTAAGCTTTCAGTCTCTCCATCCCAGCCTTCCCCAGGCAACACACAGAATAGACTTCCACTGAAACCATGGATATCTAGGAGCTGAAACATCGACCCCTGGAAAAGCAGGGGACAAAGGATTGATTGTGAGAGTTGATGAATAGCTAGGCAGAAAGACTGAGACACTTGACTCTAGAATTAGGGTAAGAACCAGTGCTGCATATAGTGAATCTCTCTGGTCTCCTCCCTGAGGAAATACAGAACCATGGTAACAACGTGAGGGTAAGCAGCAAGTACAAGCAGTGGAAGAGGAATATTCTCACACCCCAACTGCACTCTTGCTCCCAGTTCCACTCTCCTGGTCCTCTATTCTGAGCTCCAGAGACTGTTCAGTTAGGCTACAGAACTCCTTGCAAAGATTTGATGTACAGGGAGGGGGATGCCTTAAAACCATCCCCAGGAATCACATGTGAATGGGGGGGTGGGGAAGCCACCCCTCAAGGGCTTAACAAGAACCACAAGTAATTCCTTGGCTAAATAAGAAACTAGTTCTCTACGGAGTATTTATATGCAACTCCCAGACCCTCAAGATCCCAGAGATAAGGAACACACAAGCAATTCTCCGAACATTTATTTTGACATAATATTATTTCACGACATCTGAAATCTCTGCACTTCTTAACAATCTCAACACAACTTGGGGTGAGCCCGGATGTGGCCAATAGGGCACTAGGGAAGGGGGTTCCGACAAGGGGCTACCCCAGGAGGGCTAGTGTGGCAGAGGCTGGCTGCTCGCTGATGGATCCATACTGAGCACAGGGAACTTCTCCTGGTCCAAGACACCCGAGTCAGATGTGCAGGTCCCAGGCGTTACCCCTCAGCGGGGACATTCGAGGCCTCCTAACTCACTCTGAATAATCACCAAGCTGATCGGCTTGAGAGTCCTGAAACCACAACCAAGTCTAGTGCTGGTGATGTCTGTTCTTTGGTAGATGTACTCCAAGATGTCCATGAAGCATCATGCTCCCCCTGGAAGGCCGGCTGACCCCCTGGCTGGATGGTTGTACCCTCCTTCCTGACAGGTAGAGCACAGCCAAGGAGTAGGCATGACAAGGGCTGGCAACTGGAGTGCCAGGCAGGAATACTTTTCGGACTCCGATCTTGCTGCCACTCTACTGTATGGATCTTGTGGGGTCAGTGCATCCCAACCGGAATTTGAGGAAAGGGCATTGCAGTGTGGGAGGTCGGAGAAGAGGCTTAGGGGAAAACTCAGAAAGAGGAAGGCAGGAGGGCAGATCATCACAGGGTTGCCAGAATGCCAAGGGGCAACACCAGACACAGGCTTAAGATGAAGAAACCTGTTGAGTTCTGAGAGTAAGCCTGATTTAGACGACCAATGAGCCAGTCCTTGTAGAAACTAACTTCTGTGTAAACTGCAGGATATTCTCCACGACCACAGCCAATACCCCAGCTCACAATCCCCACCTGGATCCACGTCTTATTAAATTCACAGACCAGAGGCCCCCCAGAATCTCCCTGGAGAAAGAACAAGAAACAAACAGAATGGAAGATGACCAATATCAGAACAGGGTGGTTTCACTGCAAAGGACTAGGCAGCTGGGCACAAGTGGGGCTTTCCCAGGTACCCCTCGTTTCTACCTGCCCTCTAAAAATATGAGATTTGAGAGTTGAAAATGTTTAACAAAAAAAATAAGTGTACAAAAAACTGAACATAGCCCCCCAAAAAATACAGGCTCTGAGATAATAATAATGAATAAAATCCTTGCCCACGTATGTTGCTTATCACACAGGAGGGGTCAAAATGTGTGACGTGAATTATGGTATTTATTGTCTGAATCTCCCCTCTTCCCTGTCCCTCTCTAAGCAGCATTAGCTGCTCTCTATTGAAAGGTAGGATCAGGCCAGCTTGACCCAGCCTCAGCAGCTTGTCCCCCTGAATCACCTTAACTTGAACAAGGGGCAAATGGAGGGACTGGAAAATAATGCAGGTTCTACTGCCTGTAAATGAGGAAACATTGAGTGGCAACCAAAATATAAAGGTGGCAAAGGGTCCATGAACTGACCTGGCAAGTGTCCTTTCCTTGTTCACTGTAGCCACAGATAGCCCCTTTCTTGACTAAATCAGCATTGCTTTTCAACTTTCTCTTGAGCAGCTCATTACATTTCTCATGGCGAATAATACTTAGCTCAGCCTCCTGAAGAGTCAGGGGAGCTGCTTTTGCATTATCTGTAAAGACAATTTAGTAGTCAGCGGGTTTCCTTAGTGGGACAGGACAGGAGCCCCTGACATCCACTTTGGTCTCAATATAGTATTTTCACATAGATACACCCTCTTAGGGCTTAGGATATTATCCCCATTTGACAGTAGAGGAGGAAATGAGAGCAAAATTGACATGAGAAGATTAGGTAAAAATCAACATCAATACAGGTTAGGAAGAACTTATCAAGAAAAGAAGAGGTGAGGTCTTAAAAGCCTGAGAAATCAAAAGCAAGTGTCTGTCACTCTGAGTATCATTAGTAACGGTGACTAGTGTCTGTACTTCAGTAAAGTGTGTTTATTTTAGTGCAGGATCACAGACTCTTAGACAGGTAGTGCCCCAAAGGTACCAAATGTGGCTTTGCCCAAGGGATAGGAGGCCCTATAGTTTCACTAAGAGGAGTTCTCTGGCCTCCTCCCACCCAGCGAAAGCACTTTATCCATCAAGCAAGTACTTTTCGTTTGGGACAGTTCAGGCTAGCAAAGAGATCAACCCCCTCAGAGCTAAAATCCCCCCAGAGAAAACCCCAGATCTTTGTAATACCAACAGGTTACTCCCTACCAATATCTTCTCCACCCTCCTTCCTTACCTACTTGCTAGAAAATTGGCTTCCAGTCTCTTACTTTAGCTTAAGGTTAACCCCAGCACAACAGGCAGCCTTCTCCACGGTCTAAGTTTGCTGTAGTCTTGTTACACAGTCTCACCTGTTTCGTTTCGTTTTCCCCATCCAGTCACCCAGCACTCTTTATTATCTTGCACCAGGAAAGTCTTTTCAGGGAGGCACACAGGCTGGATGTGAGAGGAGTAATTCACAGGGAAGTCAAGGAAAGCAAGGGCAATGTCATTTTGGACTGTTGTCGAAGAACCAAAATACCGGTGGATCACGATGTCTCTGACCGGGACGACAAGTGCCATTCTGGAGGTACGCCACACATCTCCCAGCTTCACCGTGTATTCCATTTCGCTGCAGAGAGATCCTTGAGGGTCTAAACACCCCTTCCACATATTCTAGGTTCTTCCTACTTTGTTCCTATCTCCAATGCTAGACATCAGCCACCCCCTCCTTCCAAATCAAATCCCTTCCGCAGACTCCTGGCCACAGTGGTTCCCCAGCTGAGCAGCATTAACATCACCAGGAAACTTGCTGGAAATGCAGATTCTCAGGTCCCAGTACTGAACTACTGAATCAGAAACTGGGGGCTAGGGTTAGGCATTTTTTTTTAAGAAATTCTGCAAGCTCATTAAAGCTTGAGACCACTAACCTAGTTCTATAGTCCCCATAATTATTCCCCTGGCAAGTCTTTTCCCACATACTGTCACCCACCTGGCCTCTCCCCCTTCTTGCCACTTGGCTTGAAGGCTAATCGGCACAGCCTTAAAAGAAGTGGCTTTGAACTTGACTTTGGGTCTTGGCTCTCCAAGCTACCTAGAGCCCTAATTTCACCTACCTCTGACTACATACTGAAAAGCAGGGACTATAGTCCCTTTTTCAGATGATGAAAAGAAAGCCTAAAGAGGGGAACAGGACCATATCCAGCCCTGATCAGTAGCCCAAGCTGGGAGCCCTGAACACTCACCTAAATATGCAGTGGGCGGCGGTCAGCACCCACTGCTTGGCGATGAGGGAGCCTCCACATATGTGTTTGTTATTGACCTGCAGGCTCACCTGCCAGGGCCACTTCGTGTCTGTAGCTGGCCTTCCACCAACTATCCTCAAGTGCTTATGGCCACATCCTGGAGCAGGTCCATGAAGTGAAGGGACGGAAAGTAAAACCAGTGACACCACAACCACCACCAGATAATCCTCAGAAGTCTCAGAACCCTCAGAGCAAGACTATGTCTCCTCACATCCCCCAGGAATGGCCATGGCCTCTCAGATTTCAAGGGCAGGGTTGGGTCCACTCAGACACTTCCCTTTCCCGGGGAAAAATAGTGTTCCCCTGAAGAATGCTCCCCATTCTCCACCCCACCCCTGGCAGGGTTCCATTCCCCTCAGACCAGGCCATTTTCCTGTGGCAGGGCCTGACCCAGAAACATCACCTGAAATAAATGGCGGTGCTCCCACGGCCTTTGGTTCTGTAGCTGACGCCTGGGAGTCTTCTGTCACTAAGTCGGGGGACATGCCCGGGGATCCCAGAGTCCCTTGAGGTCGCGGAGTCCTGATATTTATCAGCCGGTCCTCGCGGCTGCCTTCTGAGGGGAGAGGAGAGGCTGAGGGCAGCGTGGAGCCCCCCGGTGCCCCCTCCTCAACCTTCCTGGCCTCACTGAACCAGGGCTGAAGGAGCAGGAGCCAGGCCAGCAGAAGGCCCAGAGAGCCGCCGCAAGAGCCTGAGGGCGCCATGGGCACCGCCGGCAGCCTCACCCCACCTCGCGCAGCGCCCCCTCGCGGCGGCTCCTGCCGCTGCCCAAGAGTTGGCGGGAAACAGCTCCCGAGGCGGGAACGCGTCCTTCCCGTCCCTGCGTCACCGGAAGACCCGGCCTGGGCGGGACTGGGGCGCCGAGTCGTGACTCAAATGAGTCTTCGGTCTTCCGAGCTCTGCGTGGGTTCGTAATTGAGGTGCCTCCCCAGCCAGCAGCATCCCCTCACCTCGGTCTCCGCCACCCCACCAGCGTTTGTTCACCCAGCTACACCCACAACTCTCGGCCAGACTTGCATTAGGCCTTTCCCAGCATCTCCCTCCCCATCATTTGTAATAAAAATTAAAACCCCTTAATATAACTGTTACACTTAACATTACTAACCACTGCATTACAGATGATAGCGGCTACCTTTTCTTAAATCAACATCCACATGAAAAAGCCATTAGCGAAATGCAAATTAAAAGCACAATGCAGTATCACTACACACCTAACGAAGACCTAAAATGTAGTGACAAGACCGAAGGCTGTATGGATGCGGAGATATTCCATCATTCATACATTGTGGTTAGAATGTAAAATACTCACTCTGGAAACCACATTGGCTGTTTCTTAGAAAACAAAATATTCAGGGCCTCCCTGGTGGCGCAGCGAGTTCAGCGCCACGCTGTGAAGCTGTCCACAGCCTCTGCAGTCGGTTGGATTCCAGGCCCGGTCAGGGAGAAACCCACATGGCGCGGCAGACCTCTCCTGCTTCCCCCGCTGCCCCCCTCAGCAGTGTATTTCGTCAGTCTGCCTGTTCTGTTCCCCGCTCTGTCTCTGGTGAATCCTCTCACCCTCCCACGCCTCTGACCTGTACCCCAGTTCTTGTATAAATAACTTAAAAAAAAAAAGAAAACAAAATATTCAATTACCACACAACCCAGTAATGGCATTCCTGAAAAATAAAGACATAAATGATACAGAAAAAGAAAAATGCAAATTAAAACCTCAGTAAGATACCACTTAGATTGATAACTCTTAGAACTGGTCAAATAAAAAGACCAGGTACTGGTAAGGATGTGGATCAACTGGAATTCTCTCTAATTGCTGGAAGGAGTGTAAAATAGTACAACTAATTTGGAAAACTCTTGGAAATGTCTAACAAAGTTAACATACATCTATTCTATGAGCCAGTAATTCCACCACTAAGTTTATTCCCAAAAGAAGCAAGAGCATGCAGACACAAAGAGTCTTGTACTATACTGTTTCTTAGCAGCTTTATTTATAATATTAATAGTATTTGTATACATATATTCATATCACCAAAGCCTATGACTATATTACCTTACACGATAAAAGGGACTTTGCAGATGTAATTAACGTTTAGGACCTCAAATGGGGATATAATCTTTGGTTAACTGGGTGAGGTCAATCTAATTACATAAATTCTTTAAAGTGGAGAATCAAGAAGTGATGTGACTATGAAAGAAGGGTCAGAGAGATTACCTTGGAGATGGAAGAAGGAACCACAAGTCAAGTTATGTAAGTCACCTGAGAAGCTGGAGAAAACAAGGAAACAGATTGTCCTCTGGGCTTTGAGAATCCCCCTTGCTGACACCTTGATATTAGCCCTCTAAGTCTAATTTTGGACTTCTAGGAAGCAAGCGGTTCAGTAAAAAATGCAAGTTGATGATTTACAGTTATGATCCCACTTGGGTAGCAACAAAAAGCTCATGCTATATGCATAGCTGTGTATCTACATGTCAGGATCTGATGATTGACCAATGCCTTAGAGTAGTTGCTGCCCTAGCGAAGATTCCTCTACTTTGTAACTACTCGTCTCTATTAGGTGCCCACATGTCTTTGAGAAGTGCCCAAATGTGGAGGGATTCACCATTATCACATCCAAAGCCAAAACTGTTGGGTCAGGAATAGCAGGTGCCAATCAGTAAGAATCAGGAAAGTTTACTACTAAGACTTCAGGAAGAAACAGCCTTCTCATTCTTCTCAAGAAATTTCCAAAGTAATAGTCCCCCACCCCCAGCCTCATGCCATCATCCTCCTGAGAGAGAATGGAAACAGATTGACGGGCTGGGCCAGTGCAGACCCCCCTGCAAGGCCACTGAAGCCAGACTGACACCACTGATCTGAGGGTGACAGAACAGAAAGCCCTGGGTGTACCCACTGGAACCACCTGATGCTGGATTGTCCAGGGATGGCTTCCACCAGCTCCCTTTGTGTTCAGTCCCTTGATATCATTGCTCTGTTCCTTACCACCGAGCAGCTCCTGATTGGCACAAGCATTCATTCCACCTCACCTTTTAGAGTCTCTGTATGACCTTCTAGTCCCCACCTCCACCTGCAGGCCCAGTCAGGGGACCATGCTTCCTGGGCCCTACCCCAGGGAGGCCAGCAAACATGATGGACACACCTCTTGGTGAGGCTCTTTTGAAAACCAAAACTCTCATTTTTTATGAGAGGAAGGAGGAGCATGGAGGGAAGAGGCATGAGAAGAATATCAGAAAAGGTGGGGAGAGGAAGCGGGGACAGAGGCAAGAGAGGGAGGGAAAGGGTGCAAGAAATGACAGGGCAAGGAGGGAAGCAAAAAGGAGGAGCTGGGAAGGGCGGAGAAAGAACAAGGAAAGGAGAAAGGAAGGAAGTGAGAGGAGAGGAGGGAGGAAAAGAGAGGGGCATGGAGAGAGAGAGAAGAAAGGAAGAGTGTGAGTTAGATATAGGCAGGAAGATACAAAATGCATCATTTGTGGAAGATGTAATTGCCTTCTAAAACCAATGCAATGAACCAACTGAAAAACTAATAGAACTACAAAGGAGTGAACTAAGAGGCCTGAGGGAAAAGATCAATATACAAAATCAATAACTTTCTTTCCAGCAGCATAAACAATTAAAAAATATAACCCCCCAAAAGATATTCCATTAGTGATAGCTATGGACATTTTTCAAAAATACCTAGGAACAGGTGCAAGGCCTTGCACCATCCACCCGGGGTTCCTCTGACCCTGACTTACCACTCTCCTCCTCACAGGGCTCCAGCCACACTGCCTCCTGGATGTACCTCACCAGCTCATGGCTCCTGACCTGTGCCCTGGCTATTCCTTCCACCCCCCAAAATATCCACCCAGCTCATTTCCTCACCTACTGGGGCTACACCAGGATCAGTAGACTTTTTCTGCAAAGGGCCAGACAGTAAATATCTTGAGCTTTGTGGGCCAGGAGTCAAAAGCAAGAGTATTATGTAGGTACCGACAGCAACAGAAACAAATTTCTCTAGAATTTTTATTGATGAATTTCAAAATATAAGAACTGATTGCTGCTGCTCGATATTTGGTGATACATGTCTACTAAAGAAAATGGAATTCTTTTAGGAGGGTAATTAATTGCAAGTTCTCTTCTGTAAAAAGCACTCTTAGCTAAAAGAAGTGCACCACATTTGGTCTACATGCAAATGTCACCTCCTGAGTGAGGCTCTCCCATGTCACCCTCTGAAAAATTATACCTCCCTCCATGCCCTCTCCACCCACTTTATTCTCATCTAATTTTCTCTGTAGTGCATCTCACAATCTGGCATGCTATCTGTTTTACTTATGTATGTATTAGCTGTCTTCCCCTTCCATAGGCAAACTTTATGTGGCTAGTTTTCTGTGTCTTTCCAGGAACTGGAATATACCTGGCACACAGTATACACTCAATAAACACCAGGTGAATGAATGAATGAATGAATGTAGTTGTAGTGAAGAGAGAATGCATTAATGCTATAAATGCTTACAGTGTTGCCTGGCACACACTAAGTGCCCTGTGAGTATTAACGTGTCTTATTGTTACTACTTTCAGGAAAGGCCCCAAGCATCTGGAGAGGGCAGGCCCCAGCACAGTACAAGCAATATTCCAGCCACCAGAGGCATTCACTGCCTGCCTGCCTCCTGCATCTCCTCTCCCCATTTCCAGCTCTCACTGTGGCTCCTGTGAGTTGTTCCTCCACTGGATCCCAAGTTCCCCAAAGGCTATCTTAGCCGTTGTCCCTCAGTTACAGTTGGGAATTCCGGAGCATCCCCTCTTCAGCACTGCCCCCCCACACACACACACAGAGTCCCCACTCACTACTAAAGATGATTTGAACCCCATTGTCGGGTTCCACTTGCCTCCACTCTGTACCACACCCCATCATTGCCTTAAGATTCTGCACTGTTCCCCTTCAACTAACTAAACCTCAGCTACTGACTCCTCTGGAAGCCATAACACATGGTGACACACAACGACACACCACCCTGACACCCTCCCCAGCCTCTGCATGTCTACAGGCCCCAATGCTCACCCTTTATTGATCACTGTCATTCAGCCAGGACACCAGAGTTGCTCCTAGTTCCCCCCCACCCCAAGATGCTTCCCCTACCTCTCCCACCCTGCCCCAGGAAACCCAGGGCCTGCCCCTGGCCCCACAGCACTGAAAGACCCCTTTTCCTGCCCTCTGAAAATGAGATGTTCCTGTGGTCCATCTACTCTCCCAGGCTGGTACTCTCCCCAGTCCCCACAAGAGCCCCATCATGCAGTGGAGGAAGTGAGAGGGAACAAGTTAAGCAGCTTGCCAGGTGCACACAAAGCAGAGTAAAGGGGGACCCTCCTCAGGGCTGAGGGGAAGGGGCCTTGGCACTACTAGCCTAGAGTACACACTCAGCAGACAAATAGATGGACAGACTTTTGGGTCAGCCAGCTACTGAGCTGGAACTAGAAAGCAGAGCTTCTCCCCTCTGCCCGACTTCTCCGCAGGGCCAGCCTTCAGGGGCTCACCCAGGAGCTCACTCCCGCCCCCTGGCGCTCCGCCAGCCGTCATCCCCGTGAGGTCAGCCACGGGCCCGCGATTTCGGGGAAATACCAGCTCCTTATTAAAAACAGGCGGCGGTCAGGCCCCCGCTGCCTTCCCAGTAGAAACGAGAGTGTTTGTTCCAAGAGGAACAAGAGTGGGCAGGGCCTAGCCGGGACGGGGCTGTGGGAGGC